TATTAATGCGCCTGGCCGCCATCTTGATGACGTTCAAAAATCAGTAGGTACCGTAAACAAATAAATACTGGTTGACGAGTACACTTCTAGAATTAGTACTTTACTAATAATAAGTACTTTTAGTACTTATCTATTTTTGCAGTAACCAATTGCATGATTTTTTTGTTAATCAATTTATATTTACATATAAATTGATTACCAAAAAATCATGCAATAAATTAACAAACTCAAAGTTTATTAAGTTACTTTATTTTGGGGATTATTCATAAATATTAGTAAATAATTTATCGCTTACCTTTTGTTCTATCTATACTTTCTATTTTCATATGACGCACGAGGCGGTTATTTAGTTTCATGGTTCCAGCGCACTAGCAATTTTCATTAACTCAATTCCAAGGCAAAGGGGATTCCCATTTAGTAATATGACAATATATTTATTCGAAAAGCACAATATTTTACTTATATTATGTAGGTATGAATGTATTTATTTGACTCAAGATTTTTTCAATGCAATTGCTCATAAAGCGCTATTTTTTAATCCATTGTAAACACCGAAAGTGAGTCTTTAAACACGTGTTAAATAAAAATGTACTGAAATCCTTTACTGCACACGTGCTTAAAAGGTTTTCTTTAATTTTTTTTGGCCGAGCACCAAAGAAATCAAAAAAAAATTGATGAAAATATGTCAAACTTTAGAGGCAAAAGTATTTCAAGGAGCCTAGAAAGAATATTTTCAAATAAAAATGTATGACACGAAAACATTTTCAAATATCACGTTTAATTTTAACAAATAATTTTTACCTTTAATACATACTTAGTTTTATTAACCTATATATTTGTTTTATTTCCTCGCAAAAAGCATTGAAAAATGTTGTAAGAAACTTGAGCGTAAAAGGTTTTTCGAATTCGGCTTCGTTACAAACTAATAAACAATACAAACCTGGTGATTATTTTCAAATAAGTATAAAATATTAAACAATATCTTTTAGTTATAAACATTAGCAGTAACCATAATTAAATCTGGTAGAAATTTAAAGTAAAAACTTAATTAACTGCTTATTGATGTCGTTGAAAACACGAAGAAAACTTCGCAAAATTTGTTTTTCTTTTTTAACAGATTCTACAACACTACCATGTAAATTTTTAAACGAAACTTTTATAGCGCGATCACACGTACTTGATATATTTACGGCAGGTTATTATTTAAATATTAAAGAGTTATATTTAAAGAGTTTTTTTTTTAAAGTCTACCTACCACCATTCGTAAACTGCCTCTATAAGTATAAAATGTCATATCTATTGACCCAGGTTATTGGTCCTAAAAATATATCTATCAGATAGACGATTTTCATGATTTTTGCCTGTTTATTTTTAAAATATAATGTATAATTTTTATTTCATAATATGTAATAAATTGGTAATGTCGCGTAATATAAAAGTGTCAAAAAAATTTTTTTTTCGATATCGATAATAAATGGTGAAAGAATTCTAAGAAACCACAAAGTCGATTAACAAATTCAATAAACTTCATTTGAATTGTAACAAGGATTTGATGGCCGTATTTTGAACCCCTCTTCACTTCAATAGAAGTTTAGTATTTATTCTTTTGACTAAAACTAGAGACAAATGGCGGGCTTAATGCCATAGAAGCATTTTCTTCCATATATCGTATTTCTAAGTTGCTTAATTTTATTTATTGCAATAATCATACACTTAAATGTGAGATCGATAGACTCAGGGCAGTTTTTGGTTTGACAAGAAAAACAACTTTTATTTTTAATACTAATTTAGTGACAAAGTAGTTCTAGCAATTATAACGATAAAATTGTTCTAGTGTCTACTAAATAAAAAAAACTAATGATGAAATTAAAAAAAAAAGTATTATCAGAATTTGTCCACTACCGCGGATGTTACCGTTGATCATACGGAAGTATTTTTCAACAGTTTACAGTCACTCGTGATAAATTATAATGAAGCTATTCTGAGTTTTATTTTTTTTCTAATTGCTAAAATATCAACGAATATGCGTTGATATTTACCATTTTACCAGCTTCGTCCTACCCTAATAAGAAATATAATTATGTCTTATAAAATTATTTTGTGGAGGAGGCATACTCAAGTCGCGTTGCTTGCTATATTGTATGGATCTGTCCACTGTACAATCTGCACTGTTAATGTTGGTTTTCCTCATTTGTTTCCTTTTCAATTACAAGTACGTTATAATCGGCTACTCTACGTAATATTCAAATGGGTAAATAAGAATAATTAAATTTTTTATTACACTTCTCTCATGTCTTTTTCTTGGATTTCAGAATCGTCAGTAAATTTTATGTATAATAGGTTTAGTACGAAGCCGGTACATATTGTTGTTATTTATAAATGAACTATACGTGTGCTGAAATCCAGACAAAATTATTTTAGTACCACCAACCATCAGTGTTACTCAATCAACGGATAAATACGTGTGCACGCGCATATGTCAGTGTGCGCGCCGTACGCGTAATTATTGAATTCTTGCAACACCAATGCGCTTACGATACAACGCATCTACAAATTATTGACTAAACACAAGGAGGTCGTGAGAACTTTTGAAATGAAAAAATAAAAATTTAATAACATTTAGGTTTGCAAATATTAAATAGAGATGATAAACTTAAGTTACATGGTGTTCAATGAATATCATTTTCATATAAAGATTAAATATTTATTCTCCCCTAATGGATGTCTGTTTAAAAAGGTCAGTCGCAAAATGAGAGCCAGATAACTCGGTCTAGATCGAATTTCCTAAGTTCTTAACTTAGAGAGTAAATGAGCTACTCCGTGGGGGTAACAAAAAACCTATCAATAGACTCAAATTTAATAAAAATAAAAAACACATACAATTATTTAAACGTGAAACATGATTCAAGTCACTTGAGTAAAAATCAGTTTTCCTATAGCTCATTGTGCTAATAATCATGAAAGGTTAGAAACCACTGGTCTAGGTTATGCATATTAAACTCTTTTGTCTTTGAATAGGACTACAGGTGGAACGGTGTGCCGTACGACCGTTTATTTGGTCCTAGGTATCCTCATGCAAACTTTTTGTATTTGATTTTAAACATCATTTCTTTTTATTATTCACCTTCTGTAATTTGAAAATTCGAGAAATCCATTATGCTCTTTATGATTGTCAGTTCGTAAAAATTATTTTACACATCCATAAGATTATCATTTTACATGTAGAAATCAATTTATTCACTTGAAATTGGCAGAATTGTTCGAAATGCACAGAAAAGCCATTAATAAAAAAAAAGAAAAGACCCATCCATAAATAAATATATAAGATCTTATTTAAAAATATTTATATAATCCGTTAAAATTAAAAATGTGTAAAGTCAATATCTTATAAAGTTTCAACGTGTTACATAAATTATATATTTAAAAGGAAACCCAAAAAAGGTTTTCTTTTATTACCGTAAAATAAAATCGAACCCATCACAACTGGCGGCAAACTCCTCCGTGCTTCGCAAGACACGTTCAGCGGTTAAGGCAGATTTACACAAAATCAGTAGCTGTCGTCAGTGCTGGCGCCAAAAACTGACTCATACTATTTACACGCAGTCTGTAGTCGAGGATATTTCTTTTGATGTACACACGTTCGTAAAGTCAGTGCGGAAAAATGAATTCTAGAAAACAGCACAAATTTTTATTTTTGAACTCAGTAGGGCTAAACCCTTCTACATCCATTTCTCGTCATATCTTTATTTCTGTAATTTTGTGATTAATTCAGCTACAGACCCTGTGTAAATCTGGCTTTAGTTTCGGCTACACCTGCAATCGTACTCGTACCAACTGATAGTAACTAGGTCTGCTGGTGGATTGTGATTATTTACTTATGTGATTTTATATAATACTAGCTTTCGCCAGCGGCTTCGCCCGCGTGGATCCTAGGGAAATGTTTAGTTGGATAAAAAGTATCCTATTATCTAAGTCAGCTAATACCCTATCTGTATGCCAAATTTCATCAAAATCCGTTCATTAGTTTCGGCGTGATTGACCGACAAACATCCAAACAAAGAAACTTTCACATTTATAATATTAATTGGATAGGATCTAAGTAGCTCAAACGATAAATTTATCATCATCAAGATTTTAGTATTCTACAAGGGTTGTATCATAGCTTAACATACTAAAGCCAGGAAAGGCCACGATTAGCAAACGTATGGCATTCTTAAAGAATCAAATATTAGCGAAGTGTGCCGTCTACAACGTAGAGTAATGCTAATCACTCAACTTTTATCCTAGTTTTTTTATTACGTTGACATTTCTTTGAGGTTTCTTAGTTTCTTTGATTAATATCGCTTGACTAATGGAGACATTGTATTTGGCTCAAGGATCTTTTTGTACGAGAAAGCAATATCAAGTACGTCTAGTATATTTCACAAGTTATTTGGTATATGCTGTTCTGTAGGTATTTATTGTAAAAATTTACTAATACACCTATTTCTTAAATTCCTATTCATCTCGTGAAAGACCTATTCATGTTCGTTTTTTAAATTAATTCTTCAATATTACTTAAACTAAAATCGTAGATAGAATGTGATTTGTCCTCTATACGATCTCCTTTGCTGTTTTGCGCGATAAGGCCGCCCATTTTATTCTATAAAACTATTGTTAAGCTATACAAGATAATAAATAGGGTTTATGCATATTTTTGTAACATACCAGTGCAATATAATGAAAAACTAGATCTGCAAGAACAACAATTTTGATAATTAACTAAGATATAAACATTATGAATACAATTAAATAATTATAAAAATATATTTGTGGGACGTTTAAGTTCAGAAAAACTGCGTCGCACAAGAGCAAGAAAAACAAAAAGCTTTCCTATTAAAAAAATAATAACAATTTTAAAAACTAACTCGACTTTTTCATTGCGAATTATGATGCATAAACCCTATACAACGTGATTTCTTTTGCTGTGTTAGTATGTTAAACAAATTTTCTTCTGGCAGATGTCGGTGGGGCTGCAGCGGCGAGTGCCGGCACTGGATGAAGCGGCGGGTGGCGTGCCGGCGGCGTGGAAAAGCGGCAACAGTGAACCGCCATTCCCGTCGTTCGCACCGCCGGCCGGCAGCCCCGCGGGGCCCGCGTTTGCCGCGTCCCCCGCACCGGCGACACCTGGACCAGGTCCAGGTTTCGCGGGCCCGTACGCGGCGCCTGGCCCCTTTGGCAGCCCGTCAGCGAGGCCAGGCTCCGGCGGCGGGTTCCCGCCCGGCCCGCCGCCCCAGCAAGGCCATTTCCCTGGTCCAGGCTTTGCCCCACCAGGCTCACCGTTCCACCCGCACGCTCCACATCCACCTATGCCGCCACACCCACACATGATGGCGCCGCTGCCGCCACCTGTTGACAGGTATGATAGCATTAGATTCACAAATTACTTGATATGCAGGAATCCCTACCCTATCCTATCCCTAATATTTTGAATGAAAAATCCAGGCTTTTGTTTCTATGTCACCATCATTATTAATTGATTTGAATTGTCGGTAAGTACACGGAAATAATATGGATTATTGGAACGTCTTTTTATGAATAAAGTTGGATTAAATTATTTGCTACTTGATTATCAAGAAGCCTTTAAAAGTTCTCAAATAAATAACAACAATCATCATTTGAATTAAAATATCGAAAGCAATTGAAGTAAATATCGTAGCAATTGTTCAATAATTATTTTGTTAACAAAACTAAAATTCAAGTGAGAAGTTATAAAATTAAGGTATCGCTTATGTATTCATTTATGCATACAATAAGATTTAAAAAATATTGATATTATTTTTAATTTTTAAAACGATAAACACTATCTGTTCTCTTGATTTTCTTAAATTAGTTTAAATATATATTATTTCGTAGAATAAATTTAATACAATAATGCACTTAATTTGCCTAAAAATCTTTCCCGCTATAACATGTAACGCATTTTATGATAGACTAACGACAACCTGATAAATCTATTGAGTCAGTTTGTTGCTTCGGTTGTGCTTCAGAAGGCACGTTAATCTGTCACGGACCTATTTGTTACCGTTACATTTCACTCGTTATTTTGGAATGAGAACTCAAACTATATAATGTTTTTTTACCTGCTAAAGTATATATAAAATTATGCCGTTATTAAATAGCGTTCACCGCAAACCAGTAGTGTTGTATTTACAAGAACGCTAAGAACTACACGGATTCATGTTTTATGTGACGGTTATTATTTTTACTTATCAAAAAATTTGTTTAAAATAATGTTTCAATCATATGTCCACATAAAAGACAATGTTGGTCAAAAATAGTCTGTGTTATTTATTAAATAAGTGATATATTGTATAATTAATTTACCAGAGTCTAATTATAAAACAAAATAACTTTAACGTCTTGAACAACAATGCTTATTTTTTTATATATGCACGTGGAAAACCTGAGTAGAACTCCTATCTGACTTTTCAATTATTGGGTTCGATAAAATGTAAGGTTCTCCAGTGACAAGACCTTTTTTATGAAGTTCTGCACATTTCTTCGGCACCGATTTCAAATACAGCTTTGACAGATATAACTAGATTTGGTCTACTCGTTGGCGCAATTGCTAATCATGTTGAATCGCTCTTAGTAGGAATATCAGGCCCGGTATTTTTGCGAATGCCAAAAAATTACTTCAGTTTCGATGGGTCTGAAAAAAGGAGATATAATAGATGTCGCCACATTTGATTAAAATACGGATCCAACAACCGATAAATTTGACTTTGAGACCCTAGTTATATTGCACAATAGTTGTGTGACCTGAAGGTAGATCTAGCCTGATGTGATTTAATATTCAAAGCATTTTTTCATAATAATTGACATATTACTTACTGATTGTATTTATACTTGGCAACTTTCAAATACTACGACGAAAACAATACTATTGTTTTAGAACTCAAATGCTAATCTATACTTCCTATTGAGGCTTTTACTTTGCCAAAGTGATCTATATCGACACTAATGACAAAGATCTAAATAGCATCCGCGTGTACAAATAATAATGATAATGAGCAGACTCCCAGTCTACTTAAAACAGGAAGACAATTGGGAACCCACATATCTGCATCAATACTGGAAGTTACCGTCAAGGCAAGTGTCAGTCAACCTTCTGACTTGAAGTCTAGTTTCGGTTTCTTAGTGCTAACTCAACGAACTTGTTTGTTATTATTTTATTCCTCTTAATTTGCTCAATATTTCTCCATAAGCGGCCTCTTAACAATACATTTAACAATTAATTTTAATATATTGTTAAATATAAGTAGATGAAATATATATGTATTCAAATAAATGTTAAATTTATCTAAAAATACAAAAAAAAAATCTATATTTTATGTAACAAGCAAATCTGTACCGAATATAACACAATACATACATTCTTAAATAAGAAGACACTGTGGATTGCTCAAGGTGTTTGATGAAATTTAGACACTTGATTGACATAAATGTTATGTAATTTTATTACATATTACAAATTTGTGGGGCCTCATCAGTGTCCTTAAGATGGCAATTCTTGTAGAAGGCAACAAATAATAAAAAAGTGACGATTTGCGAGTGAATGGTATAGCAGAATCACTTCGGAACGCGCCGAATGTATGTACACAGCTCGAAACCTTATATGGATGGAATTACAGCTACTTTTAAAATTAAACTTTTAACACTCTTATTTAATAGGAATGAAATATAAAAAAACATTCTGATAGAAAATTCCTTCGCGCCAACGTCTATTAAAAATAAAAAATGAAGCAAAAAAATATTCAAATTTAGTACGGACACAATACAGCGCAATTCAAAATTCGAACGAGAATGACTCGTCGAAAAAATGGCCGTCTGTAAAAATCGGAATATTATCCTCTTGGAGTAAAATAAAATGCGCCCGAAGCTTGCTCTGTGAGGCGAAGCAAGCTTCGATTACGGCTGTGTGCGTGCGCTATAAAACTGTGTCTGTGTGTGTGCACAAATAAATGTAGGTGAGCTACGTATATATTTTGTGGTACCGTTCGCAGGAGCGTTTAATTGTTAATTATTATAATTATTGGATAAATTTAAAACATAGTGATATATTCACTATTAAAAAAATGTTTTTCTCAGCAATTCCCGTCATAAAATAAACTATTTTCTTCTAAATTAATAAATGTTGTAATTCAGTTTGTATTTTCCACATTCACATCGCATAATATCAAATAAGTATTGCTAGGCAATCGTTATATTATAATAATTCATCATAATTGTTGTAATATAATAATAATAATAATAATAATATGTTTAGTTATTGTAAATATGTCTCATAATAATCCTTTACCGAAAAGTACATTCTAATATATCACGTGTAAACATTCCATAGACGGCAAGAAATGATCATCGCAGGGCGCGAGAACACGAATTTTTTTTCTAACGTAACCTGTTTTGTCACTGCGGACAGTACTCGCCCACCCCGGTTACTACGGCTCTCTATCTATCTATATTATGCGTCTATGTATTTGTTGGTACCGCTTTGCCCAGAGAGCGGTGACCTCTCGCGGCCCCCGCGCGTTCAATGTTTGATAGCCGTCGAAGGAATGAGAGGTGACGTTACAAAGCTCAAGTTGATTTGGCCGCTGTGTACGTACATAAGGCAACATAAGTAAGACTATGTGGAGTGAGACGCCACTCGGTTGTTCGAGTGTCGTCTGCTGCGCGTTCCCCGATCAAAATCATTCAAAAATCTAAATGAAAATTTGGTACTCTTATTGTTATTAACGTTATATTTCCGGTATACGATATCTAACAAAATTGCTTCAATTAAGAAAAATAAATATCATAAATTAATAAAATATTATTTGTCATATATTGCCTATGGTGAGTAAGTAATTAATTATACAATTAGGCTTCAAAAGGTTAATGAGGTATCACATAAGTAGATTTTTTTTTATGTAAATTAAATTATATTTTTAATTTGATTAAAAAGCTGTAATAACAGCTGTTGAAATCATAAACTAACGCGGCCTGTCAAAATTAGATGTCTACAGAAAATGTCTACATTTTGACCGCGTCAAGTTTGTCGTAACCTATATTTAGGTACCTAGCAGTACATAAGGAGGGGAGGACGAGCACGTGGCAAGGGTGGCAATCACCCCCTCGATCCTCTGCATGCCTTGTATAGTCTGGCTACGTTAAGGCACTTTTTATTGTTACTTTATTGAAAAAAATAAGTCGTCTTTTTCTTTAACCAAAACCAAAAATAATTAAATATGTTCATTGGTTAAGAGCTAAGCTAACAGATGTTAATAATTATAAGTTACATTATATTGATCGTGCATTAGGTTGGTTTTCAATTATCAATTTAATATTTTTATTTTACAAGAATAATATTTTTGACATACATGCTCTGTCACTATTATCTGTATACGGTTTGTATAATACATTTAAATTAATAATTAATTATATCAGTTACAGTTCTCAAATTCTTTGAGAATTTATAGAAATTGTTTTCAAAGAAATCTGTTGCCTCAAATCAAAGAGTGCCTAAGACTTCTACGTATCTGTCCCTAGCCCATTAGTATGCTTAGATCTATAAAACTACGCAACTGATTTTGATGCGGGTTTGCTTTAATAGATGGGTAATTCAATTAAAATACACATATATATATATATATATAGAAGGATAATTCTCGAAAACTTGAACTTCCGGTTTTATACATTCGATATTATTGTTCTTCAAAAATAATTAAATCTGATTAATATTTTTTTTAATTCGGTGACATCATAGACTGCTGTGATATCAGATTCTATAAAGATTTTAAAGTTAAAAAAAATATTAATCATTATTCATCATTTTTGAAGAACAACAATTGAGGGATTTATCAAACCGGAAGTTCAAGTTTCCGAGAATCTCCAAAAATCTTTACCTTAAACAGTGTGTAGACAATAAAATACTTCGCCAACAAGTAAGTACTTACTAAAATGTTAAAAAATACATGTCAAAAGACAATCATTATTTTTAAAATATGTACAATGAATTGGTGTTAATATTTGCACTCCATAAATACAACTTTTTTTATATTTTTTATTATTGTACTTTGTGTCCTAAAACTGTATCTTATTTGTCTCATGCTTGTACCAGAATAAATAATTCATTCATTCATTCAACTAAAATTTCGTATTGATGATATGTATTAAGTAGGTTGAGAAAATATCTATTCAGAGCACAAAAAAATAATCAATTTAAAAATTAATATATTTAATTAAGTCAAGTATCAAATTTGTTAGTACGTCATATAACACGTGGTCGAGTCAAGTGTATAACGTGCGTGCGTTGCTTCGACCGAATCCGCTGTATTCACATATTTTCATAATCTATCAACTTGGTTCTAGCCA